GATGTGGCCAATACCACTTTCTTGCTGATGGCTGCTTCGATCTATTTCCATGACAAAAATCCTGATGCAGCTCTACGTACTCTACATCAAGGGGAGAGTTTGGAATGGTAAGTGTAACTTGATCTGGCATCTCTGAGGAGTGTGTTAGCAAAGTCTCTTACCTAGGGAGAGTGGTAATAGAAATGTCCGAGGTTTGGCTTGTCTCAGAAGAGCCTTGAAACCATTGGGAGACTGTTTAGAGGTTTGCCTTTGAAGTAGTGAGTGATACGGTGCACAGCCTACAATGTCGAATCTATTGCTCCCTTGTGAAACTTAAGAATCTGGTTCATTGATCTGTGTGTATTCAGAATTGCTGAAGTGAGTACTATGGCTGTACAGCAGGAGAGCAGCTGGAAGCATGCTGCCCTGCTCTGAGCCCTGCTGTGAGCACTGCCAGCTTTGTTGGCTGCCTCGTGCCTTGGCCCTGGCATGGTAGTGCATCCTTTTACACAGCAGGCTCCTAACAGAGCACAAGGAATGATAAAACATGCCATCACTAGAGTTGATTTGCTTTTGTTGCAGCATGGCAATGATGATCCAGATCCTTCTAAAGCTTGACAGACTTGATCTGGCTCGGTGAGTAAGTTTGTCTGTGTCTGTTGTTTCTGAATAGTGAGCATAAAGTGCTTTGAATCTCTGGGCCTGGGTTTCTTCCTTCCCTTACAGAAGTAAAACAGGGAGCTCTTTCACAGCTTGTCTTGGTAAAACATGAAGAGGTAATTATGCCTCATGAGCAGTTTGATCTGACTGTTTTGCTACTGAGGTGGAAGAGCTTGACAAAGAAAACTACAGCTTTCTGTTTGTGTCTTAGGGAACTGTGAGACAGGCCTTGTGTTCCTTTTATGCAACTCCCACTTTTGCATCTGCAGCAAGGAGCTTAAGAAGATGCAGGAGCAAGATGAAGATGCGACCCTCACTCAGCTGGCTACTGCCTGGGTGAACCTGGCTATAGTGAGTATCCCTGGCCTACAGCATCTGAGAAACAGCACTTAGACAAAACTCTGTGCCTTCTTTGTGATCCCTGTTGTCACATCATGCTTTCAGAAAAGCATGCAGGTTTTTGTTGTTGTTGTTTCAAAGCAAATCCCACGTGTAACAGGACGGTGCTACCTAAACTCAGTGTAATAAAATGCTCTTAATCAGCCCTCCCATTCAAGGAAATCTGTCTCTGCAGAGATAGAAATCGGCCTTTTGCCCAGTTACCAAATCTCACTAAACCTTTTGGTGCCTGCAACTGGTTTTGAAACTGTATTGTAATCAAGAGTTTCAAACAGTCAGCCAACAACATACGGCTGGTAGCCTGGATGTCAGGTGTTTGAAACCAAACAGTCTCCTGAAATTCAGTAAATTCCGAGGTATGCATGCAGTAACCTCTTACAGTACTATTAAGAGTGTTTTAGTGTTCATTTTGTCTTGTTATTAAATTCTTGTACATCTCTGTGCCCCTACAAAAGCATGAGGCTGAGTTTTCGTTCAGATCCCATTTTTCCCTAGGGAAACTCTCACTCTCTGGTCAGTGCAAGCTGCTGCATCTAGAAGCTCTCTGAAGCTGGGACATTTTGAAAAGCCAGGTGCCTGTACCTGGGTTTAATTATGAAATCTCATTTCATGATCTTTTATTGTTGTTATGATGTTCTTCCAGACATGAAATCAGTGTTCTGAAGTGGTTCTTTTGAAATGGTTTTTTTTCTCTTTGAATGAGAACCTTGATCTTTTGATCATTTAAGTGCTTCTTAGTATTGAACGTTTTTGTGTTTCTTTCATCTGTAGTCTTACAGTGATCTCCCATGTTAGAGGAGATCACGTGAATGACAGCAGCTCATCTCATTTTATAACCCTTCACATGAACTTCGTGGCCCCTTTCTTTAATCACAGAAAGAACACACAGCCTTCTTGACAATGCACAGTGAAACTGCATGCCTGTGTCCTTTTGCAGGGTGGTGAGAAGTTGCAAGATGCCTATTACATCTTCCAAGAGATGGCAGACAAATGCTCCTCCACTCTGCTCCTGCTTAACGGGCAGGCAGCCTGCTACATGGCTCAGGGCAAGTGGGATGACGCAGAGGGAGCACTGCAGGAGGCACTGGACAAGGTACTTGCTGGTTTCAGGCAGATTAGCCTGAATCTGAATATCTCTTACACACAGCAGACAGAACAGCAAGGAACTTCACCACTGTGCTTCGTGAAAATGTCCCTAAGAGTGGTTTGCTGTTAACAACTGCCTTTTCTTCTACTTTGCCTGTTCAGTAAAGTGAGCTGTGGGCTGGTCAGTTCGCTGCCAGTTGTTACGCTTGGCCTTGGTAGGGGTAAGTCACCAAGAAGTGACTTTTTGTTTCCAGGACAGCAGCCATCCTGAGACCTTGATCAACTTCGTTGTCCTGTCACAGCACCTGGGCAAACCACCAGAGGTGAGGCTTGTTTTATGGTACTCGAGAAGCAGCTCAGCCTGGGGACAGGCTGTGTGCTCCTGCTGTGGGTGAGAACTTCAGCAACCCTGTGTTCTCATCGGGATTAGAGTGAACAAAACAAAATAGTTGTGGAGTTCTGGGGCATGGGGGAAATTCAGTATTCAATAAAGTCTGGGAACGCAGCTGTTGTAGACAGTGGTTTGTGCTTAGGGGAGAGCCTGGGTGGAGGAAGAAATCTCCAAGTTCTGAGCTTGGTTTTCTCTGTTTGTTGACTCTGCTATGGAAGGTCTTGCTGCTTTTAAATGGGGCTGCTATCTTTCAGAGTGCTGAAGAACTCTTTGCTCATTGAGAACAAAGTCATAGAAGTATTGTTTTAAACTTTCTGGCTTTTCTTCGTGTTCTTTCAGTATTTAAATTTCCCTTTTTCCTCCCATCAGGTTACAAACCGTTATTTGTCACAGCTGAAGGATGCACATAAGAATCATCCGTTCATAAAGGAGTATCAGGCAAAGGTACTGGCTATTTTCCAATACGAAACTGAGTTTGTAATGACTTACACCAGCAAGATGGGGCGGGGGGATGACTTGCTGTGAGCATGACTACAGTTCTAAACAGGCAGATCCATTTCTTTCTCCAGCGTCTCACCACTGCCAGCAAATTTTCTGGCCCTTGTGAGATGTGTTGGGAAATACCCAACATCCAGGTTGAGTGTATTTGTGCCAAGTATATGAACCAAACGTAACTGAATGTGGGGTACATCTGGAAAGAAATGCTTTGAGGTCCATCTAACCCAGATTACAAACTTGTTTGTTAGCGTGGGACGCTGTGCTTAAATGGGGGAAATCTTCTGGATGAGAGAGAATTCAGGGGACGGGCAGAGGGAGGTAATGGAGAAAGGAGAATGAAACAAATGGAAATGATTGAGAACAGACCCAGGCAGTTTGCTTTTTAGAGTTCATTTTGCCTTGGTGAAGTGCTGCAGGGTTTGAAATGTGTTTGTTTTGTTTCTGATTTGAAGGAGAATGACTTTGAGCGACTGGCCATGCAGTATGCCCCCAGCGCCTGAGGAGGAGCGGGGCAGCAGATCTGCTCTGTGGTACCTGGGAAGCGGGGTTGGTTCCTCAGAACCCTTCTGGTAACATGGAGAAATGCCCTTTGCAAGTGGGTCTGGCTTAACTCAGCGTGGCAGGGTCTGCAATCCAGGAAACCGTTGCTGAGTTTGTATATAATGTGTAGCTGCTCCAACCTGGGAGCCAAAAAGCCTCTTCTGGCTTCTGGGGTTTTCAACTCTGTTTAAAACACAGCGCGAATCAAGTTTGCAACACTGTACCTTAAACATTCCTAATAAAGCCTTTTCTGGCTCTGTGTGCCCCTTAATTTACACCCTGAAACTCCAGTAATTCCGTTGTGGGACTGAGCCCTGTTGTGCTGAGGGTGGAATGAATCCCTATGGGAAGAGCATGAAGGCTGACTTCAAGTCTCAGATTTCAGTGCAGTGGTGAATCCCGAAGTTATGGCTGTTCTTTTGGTTTGGTGGTGGCTCCTTTTAGGTTAACATCCTCTGGAAGAAGGATGCACAGCTGTAGGGGTTACTGCTGGTGAGAGGGAAAGCTTCCCCAGAATAGAAATAATCCAATCGTAACGGGCTCAGCCCTGGTCTTAAGTTGATAAATGCAGCATCTCGTGTCCTGCAGCCAGGAAAGCATTGGGTTTTTCTTTAACAAAGTGCATCCTGCAGTACTGGGGAAGTGTTTGTCCCCAGCTGTTCCTGAGAACGTGGTGGTTGGTGCACCTGATGTAATGGGACGTGAGGAACAGAGCACTGTGTGGTTTTATGCCTTGGACTCCTGTGCAGCATTTCAGGCTGCCTTTTGTGTCGAGATACGAGGAGCAGATGTCCATCTGGAACCCTCAGCGGGGCCTCCTGAGCTGCAATGTTTGATTTATCTTCTGAATTATCTTTTGGAAAACGTTTTCGGGAGAGGGAGAAGAGGGGGTTTATGCTACACTGCAAACGGTCTGAGTGGCGTTTCCTTTGTGCCCACCTCGCAGCCATTGCTCTGAAAGAGCTCATTGTCTCTTGCCTTGGCTTGTTTAGCAAGCAGCTCTTTTCAGTGAGGGGTTTTATTCGTGGTCCAGTCTTGAATGAATGTTTCCTTTGTGGAGCTGTCTGAGCGAGATGTGAAAGGGGCTTGTGTGCTCAGGGCAGCCATTGCCCACTTGATGGGCCATGATAAATTGACTTAAAAATGTAAACAATAAAAGCAAGTGGCGGAGAAGGAGCCAACCCTGTCAGTGTGAGAATAGGGGAATGTGTTGTTCAGACCTGTGAGAGGAATGAGTTTGTGTTTTCTCTTTGCTGCCCGGGACCAATTAGAGAAGTTCCAAAGAACCTGAAGGCAGAATGAATCTCCCAGAACGGCGGTGGGACTTTCAGATGGCTTAAAACTCCTATTTCTTCAACTTACAATTCCACAGATGGGTTTTCTGTGTATGAGTGATCATTTGTCTGTCTCTGCTAACAGGGAGCCTTACTGCTGCACTTGAGGTTGTCATTGAGGTGCATTGGGCACCAATTGCTGCTCCATGGCTGATGCACAGCACAGCTGTGCTGCTCCAATGCATTGCTCTGAGGTTCCTGTGCTGCCTCAGCACGGAGAGAATTTGTGCCAGCATTTCAGGAGAACCTTCATCTTAAACCTTGCAAAGCAAACGTTTGAGCTGTGGATGGCGATTGATTTGACTGCTTTTAATTGTGAGCTCCTTGCTGATGAGATTTCTGCTGTATGAACAGCGGCGTGTGCTGGAACGCAGGCTGCCCAACTCGGGAGGAGGTGCTCGGTAAGGGCTGGCATAAGGGCTGGCCCCGAGGCAGGGTTTGCATTTCTCCAGGTGCATCTCCTTATCCCACAGCCTTTTGATCCGCGGCCGAACTTCGGCACCTGTTGTAACCGTGACGGGGTGGTGGGAACGAGCGAGGAGAGGAGAAAGAGGACAAATTCCTGCTGTGCGAGGCTTTTGCGAGACCGGTGGAACAGAGGGAAGCGCGGAGAATCGTTTACAGAATAATAATGAGTGGACGTAAGGATGTTGAACGCGGAGGGCTCTGCAGGGTGGCGTCGCCGGGCTGCTGACGGCATCCTGCAGGGCACAGCTGCTCCCGCCGCCCCGTCACGAGGTGCCATCTGAAATCCCGGTGTTTTTACCGGCGGGTCTTGCTGTCGCCGTGCCCGCTGTCGGGGCCCATCGTTCGAGAGAGCGATCGCGTCGCTTTCCGCGTTAGAAATTCCAGCGTAGCTTCATTCAGCTCGCTGCCAGGCCCCCGATGAGCCGCCGCTCATTAGCAGGCACCGGCCGGAGCGCGGAGGCTCCTCCCGTGGGCGGCTCCATGGCCCGGTAACGGCGGGGGCCTGGGGGGGGGGGCCGGGCCGACCCGCTCTGCGCGGAGCCTGCGCGGTGCCGCCGGGCACGGCGGGGCGATGGGCGAGCGACGCTGAGCGCCATGCGGGGCTCCGAGCCCATGCCCGGCTACGGGCAGCTGCTGCGGCGCGGATACGGCAGCCTGGCGGCGGCCGCGCGGGGCTGCGCAGACTGCGGCTGGGAGCTGTCGAGGAGGACGTGGGCCGAGAACGCGCACCTGCGCTGGGGAGAAGTGCTGCTGTGCGGGCTGTGCGCGCTGGGTTGGACCGTGCTGCGCCGCGCCGCCGCCCGCCGCGTCTTTCGGGTCAGTACCGCGGGATGCGGGAGGGCTCCGGTCCTCCTTTCCCGGGGCTGCGGCTCGTTCCGATGCCCTGCCCTGAGGTTAAACCCCGCGGGGTGCGCGGCTGAGCGCCTCTCCCGCTGCGGTCGAATCCTCCTTGCGCAGAGCGGCCGCTCCTCGCCCCGCAGGGCTCCATCCCGAGCTCGTCGCGCAGAGAAGCGTGCTGTTCTTCTAGGGAGCTCGGGTGGTTTGTGTGGGAAAAATCCGTCCCCCGGGGCCGCGTGCCGTGAGGGGGCATTGCGGTCCCGCCCCGGGCAGCATCCTGCAGGGCAGAGCGTCACCGGAGGGCCGGGGGTCCCGTTGCACGGGAGAGCTCTATCCGCGCTGTGTAACGGGGTCGGGTAGGGGGCCGGGGATTATTTCTTGCAGGTGCTTAAAGGGCCGGGCCACATTTCTCAGCATCAGCTGCAGTTTGCGTGAAAAATGTCCTTCCCCGCTTTCCTTCCCTGGCGCGGCGGTGGGGTTGGCTGCGTGCTGCAGTGCTGGGCTGACCTTCAGAGCTGGGGATGCAGGGTGCTTGCATGCAGCTTGCTCAGCCTCCGGGTGGGTTTGCTGACCATCATCCCCGTTAGTGTGGTGCTTTGTGAGGAACAGAATGAACAGGACTTCCCTGAGAATGAAGAACAGTCCCGTTTAATTTTATTTTATTTCTTATTTTTTGCTGTGGAAAGCATCCGTAATGAATTGAGCCCTACTGCTTCCTTTCTGATGCTGTCCCAGCAGTAGCAATTTCTTCTTCTCTGCCTTCCCAGAGAGGTGCTGTTGCTCTGCAGTGCCGTTCCTGCAGCCTTGAGAGGATTGCAGCAGCAGAACTAACGCAGGCGTTGCGTGTTGGGTCAGGTGGGAGTCCTCAGCTCTCAGCTGTTTTCTCATCTCCCGGGAGCACAGCAGCACACAGCCTGGAGCAGTGATGGGAGCGCAGGGCTCCTTGTGCCTGCGTGGGCCAGGCCGTGCGCCCTGGGGAAATCACTTCCTTCAGAAACTGTTTCAGAGATTGAAGAGAGCTACCTTGCATCCTGCAATTAGGCCATCAGGACTTACGTTGCTGAGGCCTCCAAAGCAGCTCTGCTTTTGCTTTTCAGAGTTGCTTTTGCTTATCCAGTGGAGCTGGAGCCTGACCTTGTGCGAAGTTCCAGTCCAAGGCCTCTGGAGCCATTGGAAGCTGATGGTTAGGCAAGGTGTCAGTGATAATGGGCTGGCTTTCTGTGCAGGGCTGTTTCCCCTCATTCCCTGCAGCCCCGTCTGCCTGGGGCTGCTGCTGGGATGCACCCAGTGCCTGGGAGCTCTGGGCTGGAGGTGATGATAGGTCTGCTGTAACAAACGGGGTGTGTTCCCTTCATGCTCCAGTTTCTCCTCATTAAAAGGCCCAGCTTTACAGAGCGAGCAGTAATCAGAGTGTGAAAAAAGCTCTTGGAGCTGTGCAGTTCTCTCCGTGCCCTCGGAGGACACTTGGCAGTGTGCACCAATGCTGAGGTATTGTTCCCAGGGAGAAGTGGGTCATGTTTGTAATTGCAGAGGAGCAAGGAGGGTTCATCAGAGCCAGTTCTTGTGGCTACGCCTGCGTCTGCTGCAGGGGTGAGCGGGTGTGAGATAGCATCAGTTTCCTCCCAGCGGAGAGGTGGAGGGGTGGCAGCAGTGAGAGACAACTGTGTGTGTATTTACTTCCAATTGAAGAACTTGAAGCATTTCTCTATTTGTTCTGCTGGACTTAGTATGGGAAGAGCTGGAGACTGCGGCTGTCCTCACCAGCCTTTGGCAGGTTTTATGAGGCAGGTTTGTACTGCGTGCCTCCTGCGTGGGCAGCGGGGCATCCAGCAAGAGGCTTCCTCACTTGGGGAAAAGTCAGTGAGAAAGTAAAACCCTCTTGCTTAACACTGGGAGGAAACTTGTCCCACGTTCAGGACTGCCTCCCAGTGCAGACTCAGAGCATCCTTCCTCCTTTTGAATGCCTTCACGTTCCCTGCAAGAACTGAAATACAGTTATGAAAATGAATGCACTCTGTGTCCGGAGAATGCTACTTTCCTGCGTGCTGCTTATAAATAATAGATCTTGCAGCTTGAATTGTAACTCTGTGTCTGCAGAGGAAGTGACTCTTACCGTGAGACCTTGAAGCCTGAACCACGCCGTGCATCTCACTTTGCTCTGGCCGCTCCTCTGTGAGACGAGTGCCTTAAAGCCATGCACCTCTTCCTGTGCTATTTGCATTGCCCCACTTTTCTCGGGGGGAGCAGCAGGGCAGCGGTTTTGTTTCTCACCACAGCAGCATTTAACCTTTGTCACGAAACATCTGACCGTCGGATTGAAGAAGCAGTGGAGTCTGTGTGTGATGGGAGGGGGCTGGTTAGGGTTTGAGAGCGTGTGCTTCTCACCCATTGAAACTGCTGGGTCTGTGTGTTAGAGGTGGTTTTCCCATCATCCTTAGAGCAAAGACAATTTTTGCCTGTTGTTTCTTTTTCACAGGATCCTTGCTTGGTGTGAAAATGGAAAAGAGTTGTTTTGGTGTAGGAAGGATCCCAAGTAGCTGAGCAAATGTGGATTAGCAGACAGGGAGAGTCCCCGACGGCTGGTGTGTGGAGTGGCTGCAGGCACTCTGAGAGTTGGGTTAAAGAGCAGCAACCTGAGCATCCCTGTGTGAGCTGAGCATCCGCAGGGCAGCTGACAGCCAAGTGCATTCTGTTCTGAATGAAAGCTCCAGTTCTGCCTCTGAATCTGGTGGCTGTCAGGTACCCCCTGCTGCCTTTTCTCTGCAGTGGGTGAATGTTTTCTGTTTTAGGCCCACTAATCAGCTTGCTGCCTCGCTGGCGTAATTTGTAGGACGTTGCAGTGTCTTCTGCAAGGAGAAGTATTTTGCACATTGGAAAATGGCTCTGAAAACAGAGTTTCTAGAGAAGTGCTACCGTATCGTCTCAGCGCTGATGTGGAAGCTGGAAAGCAATGCTCCCTCTTCTCCCTCTCAGTGATTTATGTAACTTCTCTCCATTTTACAGTATTGTCAAGGCTTGGTTCTTTTCCAAACCCCAGAACAGGGCATGTGAATTGAAGGGAACAATTGCTGTCCCAAAACCCACTGCCCAGAGCAGCCCTTGCTGCTGGCTCTTCCGCACCCACCTCCCCGGCTCATCCCACTGCGCTCTGCTCAGCATTTGAAGCACAAACTGTGGCAGCTCGAGGGGGGAACCACAACAATGGGCCTTTTCTTCACTCTGGGAGCGAAGCCGCAGGTCTCCAAGCGGGGGCTGCCCTCCCCGTGCTGCTGTGTCAGCACTCAGGCATGAGAAGGTTATTCAGCCCCCGCAGCACCCTGTTGGCAGCTGTGTTGGGTCTCCAGAGAGTGTCTGCTATTGCTTTTCTCTCCATGGGGGAAATTTGACTGCTTGCAGAGGAACCGAGGAAGAAATAATGTCTTTTGGCTTGCTGCAATTGTCACAGTGCGTTTCATCACATTTATCTGGGAAGTGTTGTCCAGAGCCCAGCCCAGCTTCCCAGTGCCTTTGCTGAGAAACCGAGGTGCTGAGAGGCTGTAACAAGCTGTGATTCATAACCTGTCGCTGCAAACCTGCCAGGTTGCTGGGAGGACTCCTGTCCTGCTGCTGTAGCTGCCCGCAGATTTAAGGGGATGCTCTGCTTTTCTCCAGTGCCCCAGGCTGCAGGAGGGGTGTGAGTGTGTTTGGCTTCTTCTCTGAGTATGTATTTTTTGACACTTCTCTGGAGCTGTGGGCAGCAGCAGTTTCCATTTGGTTTTTCTTTCCCTCCAGCTCCAAGCTGCTCTCACAGTGCTCTCACCCGCTGCTGTGCTCTTTCCCAGTCCCCAGGTTGTGCCAGGCAGTGCGGGGGAGCTGGCGCAGCCCTCCCACCCTGTTTCCCATTAATTTTACAAGTGAATCAGAAGGTTCTTGTGAAGGTTTGTGTGGGAGTATCGTGGAGGAGGTAGGAAGAGCCGGTCGTCCTTTAAGAGCAGCCCTATTACATCACTTGCCAAGAGCTTTGGGCTCTTTCAGCCGGAGCCAGATCCACTGCTCCAGCAGCAGCACCCGTTGCCCTTAGCAACAGGCATCTCCGTGCTGTTGCCATGGGGACGACAGCTGGGTAGCAGGAGGGCATCTCTTGCCTTGCGCATCTCCTACCTCACACGTCTCCTGCCCTGAGGACAGGTTTGCCAGGTTTGCTTCACTGTTACAACCTCTGCCAAGGGCCCGAGCCTCCAGAAACGGCTGGCCCAGCAGGATGTGCTGAGTGATAACCCTTGTCCTCAGCTCTGCCTGCCTGGAATAGAAATGGTATGGTAATGGTAGTCGCCTTCACCCTTTTCAGGTGGGGAACTGAGGTGCAGAGATGCAGCTGAGTGACTTGGCTGGTGACTGACAGCACTGCTGCAACGGGGTCGTGGGGTTGAGCCCTATGTCCTAAATCCAGTCCCTAATGAAGAGCACAGGAGTGGCAAAGGTCTGCCTTGGCAAAGCGTTGAGCTGCCCCCGCAGCTGAGCTGCTTCTCTGCTCCACTTTATGGAGATACAAATAATTCATGCTTTCTGGGCTCGGGACTTTCTGTCTCTGCATTATTCATTCACCCTTCAAGCTTCCTTCTCTTTTTCCTGTCGTGGCTCCTGTTGGAAGAAGCTTTGGCAGCAGTGTGTTCTCAGCCACGCTGTGAATGCAGGATGCACAGGGAGGCCGGCGCTGCCCCTCTTTGGCTGCAGGGGCTGTGGGCAGCTTGGCAGAGCGTTTGGGGCTGCTGCTTCCAGGTTGGAATTTCCCAGCGCTGCTCTCAGCTCAGAACAAAGCACTTTTAGACCGAGAGTGGAGTCCTTTGAAAGCCTGACACAGAGAAGGGCTAAAAGCCAGGCGGGCCTCTGCCTGGGGACAGCTGGAGCCTTAATATAGCCTTTGAGCATCAAGGAGCCAGGCGCGGGCTGCAGAAAGTGCTGACCTGGGGCAGGGTATGGTTACTTTGCAAGCGTTTTGTTTTCATCTCTGGCTTATCTCTCCCAGTGGAGCTCCCCCACCCGGGGCCTCGGGGTGTGTTATCTGTTTCAGGAGAGGCAATTCCTGCTGGACGCTGAGTGATGCTCTGCTGCAGCCGGGTGGAGGCTGCTGGGACTGGTAGGGCCCTGTCAGTCTCATGATTAGAAGCAGAGATGGTGTCTGGTGTTGCTCAGCTGCCACTGAGGGAAAACATCAGCGCTGAGAGCCATGGCTGAGCTGAGGGCGCTCGCTCATCCTGCGGAGCGCTGATGATCTGAGCCGGAGCAGCTCATGCTATCCTTCATTTTGCTCCTGGGGAGCTGAGCTGTTTAATGCTGGAGCTTTGCTTTCATTGTGATTTCTGAGCAGCCCCCGGCCCCTCGCTCTCTTGCTGTTGCAAAGTGTGAGTATCAAAAATCAGGTGCACTACTCATCATCCTCAGCATCGTGGGGAACTTGAAGTGAGAAAGTTTCATTCTTAATAGAACGAGCGATCCACTGAGCTGCTCGTCCTCTCCCTCATCACTTTGGCCATATTTGGGGAGGCTTTGCCTCCTGTCTCTGAGTCCTGACCAGCAGGAAGGGTGCTGCAAACCACAGGAGTGAAAAACAAGCCAGCTGTGGGTGAGCCTGGGGTGAGGGAGCAGGAGGAGCAGCCCTTACACACACGTTACATGCAGAGTTGCTCCCTCCGGTGCTGGCTGTGCAGGAGGATGCTGTGCCCCGCTGCTTGGAAAGCAGCAGCAGCAGCTGTGTTCAGGACTCAGCAGAACCATCACTTCCTCCCTTGAAAGGTTCTTTTCTGGGACCTGGCAGCACTGCAAAGTCCAAATGCGTAGGGTGGTATTGTTAGAGCTTCCTCTTCTGGATTTCCTTATGCAGATGGGACTTGATTTTATTACAGTTGTATTGATTCTGTTCTGCAAAAGCAAGCTGTGGTCAGCCCTGCTCCTGGAGCCAGGGTGATGGAGTGATGCCCAGACCCTGGGATGCGTGCTGTAGATTTCCTCCTTCTCTGCAAGGCTCTGCTTTTGCAGCTTTCCAATGTGGCCAAGGCAGAGTGGATGAATCTCCAACTTTGCATTTTTCCCCGCTTTAGGCTCTTTCTCAGGCCTCGTAGCTCAAGCTGTAAAGAAAGCCAAAATAATGAGACTCACGTCCTTGGTTTTGTCCTCTTTGGCAGTGCCTGCAGAGTGCAGTGTTGGAGTCCCTTTGGGATTCTGTGAGCTCTGTGCTGGGCTCCTCGGGGTCTCCTTGCCGTGTGGTGACACTTCTCCCTTCTCCTTACAGCCCTTCGGTGAGTGGTGCAAGCTGCAGCCAAAAGATGCTGCCAAGATGCCTGAGAGTGCCTGGAAGCTGCTTTTCTACACAATATCCTGGTCCTATGGCTGCTACCTGCTGTTCTTCACTGACTACCCCTTCTTCTACGACCCACCGTCCGTTTTTTATGGTACAGTAAGAGTCAGGGAGAAGGGGGTGTGCAGTAGGATGTTCAGGTTCATAGGAAACCTGGGTTGAACAAGGGAACTGAAGTTGGTGGGAGAGAAATTCTCAGACCAAGCCTCCACATTAACTTTTCTGTGATGATTTTAGTGCAGAACAGAGCGCCTCTATTACTTTGTTACAGAGAGGGTGTCACCTAGTGGCTGTTGCAGACAGCAGGGTCTGGGTTTTGGCTACGGAGCAAAGAGGGGTTGAGGAGTTAAGAGAAGGAGGGAAGTAAATCAGGGCTTCTGCCCTACGTCCCTGAGTGGGAATGGGTCTGATGCCAGAGGAGGAGTCTGGGAGCCAGGATGCCTGGGTCCTCTTCCAGAATTCACCTCGTTTTCATCTGGGAAGTCCTGAGTGGAAGCTGAGCACAGCAAAGTGCTGACAGGCGCCCAGGGCAGCTCTGCTGCTGTTGGCTCCTGGCTGTTTGCTCTCCTCTGTGATGCTGATGAAGGCTCTGGATTCACCCTGGGTGTCTTTCTCCCATTTTAGACTGGAAGAAGGGCATGGATGTGCCCACGGACATCGCTATCGCCTACCTGTTGCAGTGCAGCTTCTATGGGCACTCCATCTATGCCACTGCCTACATGGACACGTGGCGCAAGGACTCTGTTGTCATGCTGCTCCACCACGTGGTTGCTCTGACCCTTATAGCCTTCTCCTACGCTTTCAGGTGAGGGCCTTGGCTGTCGTGCTGCCCCCCGTGCTGTACCTGTGCCAGCCTTGGGCAGCGTGCAGCAAAGGCTGTGGCTTTTCTGTGCTCCCATGCATCTCCTGTGTACTGAGAGACTCACCCAGGGCCGGCACAGATTCTTCCCACCTCTAACCCTGCACTCCCACAGCAATCCCAGTGCTCACAAACCGTTGCATAGTGCAGACCTGCCCTGCAGCCTGCTGCCACGCTGTGCCTTCCCAGGCCTCGTTCTGTGCTATTCACAGAGCCCAGCTGCTTATGGTGCGGGGGGCGATGTGTGCTGTGTGCTGACGCAGACCTGGTGGTCCACATCTCCCTCCCTCCCTGTTCCCCTTTCCTGTAGGTACCACAACGTGGGCATCCTCGTGCTCTTCCTGCATGATATTAATGACGTGCAGCTGGAATTCACTAAGCTCAATGTCTACTTCAAGCACCGGGGGGGTGTCTACCATCGGCTCAACGACATCATCTCCAACATTGGCTGCCTCACCTTCAGTGTCAGCTGGTGAGTTTGTCTGCCTACCCAGCCCTGATCCCACTTCCAGCTATCCTTGCCAGCTTTTGCAGTCCCCCTGGTGCCCCGGGGTACAGCCTGCTGGGTGTGTGTGCATGGGAACGAGTTGTTTCTATAAACTATTTGGGAAGAGGTTCCTGCAGAGCCTGACCCCATGCTGGGCTTGGAATCCTTCTGTAGTCACTTTGCCGTCTGTCACCACAGAAGTGCCTGTGAAATTTTGCTTGCAGCATGACAAATGACCCCAGGGGAGGAGGAGCTGTTCCCATTTTCCCACTCATTTGGTTTTAGCATTAATAAACAATTTTTGTGGGTTGTTTTTTTTTTTTTCTTCTTTTTCTTTTTTATTTTTTTGAAGAAGCAAATGGGATGTGGGCCTCAGATCCCAGCCCTGCTGCTCCTCCTGGGGAAAGGCAGGAGAGAAAGATGAAGAGCAGAGATAAATTACTCACAGGTTGTCACTCCTGGTGCATCCCTTTGTCTCCTTCCTCCCTCTCTGCAGGCTTCTCTGAAAAGGAGAGGTGGCAACAGGAGCGATTGATATGAGGGGGAGGAGAACAAGGAAGGTTTTGAGTGATAAACAAGGGATGCACAGAACTAAGAAAACCTTCCAGCTGTAATCCTCTGCTGTGCCCCCATCCAGCTGAGAAAATCTGCACTGTAGAATTGCCTCTACTCTGAGAAAGCCATTTCTCAGCCTGGTGCTGGTGCTCAGCCTGTGGCAATAGTACCCTCACTGATGTACCTGCGTGTGTGAAGTCTCAGAACCAGGCCTTTAAACCCAAATCAGATGCCAGGGGCTGGGACTGCTGGCTGCGAGAGAAATTGACAAGGGAGGCTGTGCTGGAGGCAGCTGCTCTGGGAATCCCTGGGGGCCATTAATCCCACCCTGCTCCCTCTGCCCTGGCAGGTTTTGGTTCCGTCTCTACTGGTTTCCCCTCAAGGTGCTCTACGCCACTTGCTACTCCAGCCTCCAGTCGGTTCCTAATATCCCCTTCTATTTCTTCTTCAATGCTCTGCTCCTTGTCCTCACTCTGATGAACATCTACTGGTTTCTGGTGAGTAGGGGAAGCTCAGCCACCCCTGCGCTGCCTCTCCTGCCTCAGCTGCTGCTGTGCAATGCTTGCTGCCTGCCTCTCCAGGGTGGCTGTGGGAGCTGCAGGCATGGGGGAAGCGTGGGGTTTGAGAGGGGAGGGAGGAGGGCAGCGCCCAGAGGGCTTCTTGGTGCTGGAATGGAGAATGTCTCAGCCCAGGGATCCAGGGGAAGGGATTGTAACAGACTGTCATTGCCCCGGGGGCTCCTTGGCACTGGAGCAGGTGGGAATGTGACACAGGGACACAGGCACAAAAGCCATGGCATCTCCTGAAGTTCTGGGGGAGGGGTGAGGCTGAACCCTGGGCTGGGCTGGGTGGCAGCTGCATCCATTGGGGGTGATGAAATCAGTCAAAATGGCATTTGTAGGAGCTTTGGCCACCCCTATGGGAGCTGCTGAAGGGGCTGAAGGCAGCAGAGGAACTCCCCATGCTGCAGATGGGATGGAGTGGGGCTGGGTGGAACAGCTCTGGGCCTGGGGTTGTGGCTGATGGTGCCTTTCCCCCTGCAGTACATCGTCCTGTTTGTGGCCAAGGTGCTGATGGGGCAGGTGCACGAGGTGAATGACGTGCGTGAGTACGATGTGGAGGACAGCAAGAAAACCACAGCGGGCAAGAAGAAAGAGAGTGGGCTCCAGCTGCCCAATGCTCTGAAAGAAGGGTGCGTGGGCAGGGGTGGGGACATGGGCAGCACCTCTGGGTTGGGAGAAGGGAAGATGCCGTGGAGCAGCATTCAAAGCATCCACCGCTGGGCTGGAAAAGAGAAGGATGTCTTGATGCAGAGTGTAAAAAATAGCTGCAGGGATCAGGAAGAACTTTGTGTCTCCACATCCCAGCACTGTGGTGTGTCTGTCCACCTTTGTCCCACGAATCCTCACCTTTCCCTTCCCCTCCTCACCAGCAGAACTGGCTCTGTGTGTGACACTGCTCCCCCTGAGCAGCATCTGCTGTTTGTGTGGAGCACAAAGTCAGGTGAGCTGCCGGATCCCGTAAAGCAGGTCTGACTCATGGGACCAGCCTCAAAACGCCTGCATGAGATGGCAGATCAGCAGTGATGTGTGAGAGTAAGGGAAGGACAGTCAGTGCAGAGGCCCAAGCTCATTGTCTGCTGTGCTCTCATTCACAGGATGCACCTGAAGAACGGACTTGTGAAAGACAAGCGGTTATAAGAGCGTGGCTGCTGCAGCCTGGCTGGATCTGGGGACTGAGCCAGGACCCTACGCTCAATCCCAGCAAATGAAAGGCACAAGAAGAGCTTAATCCCCAACGCCCCTTCATCCCCTGCCTGGAGCCGGGGAAGAGATGCCACTGATGGAACGGGCCCCTGCCAGGCCTTGCCTGTGACCAGGCTTCACCTGATGCTGTGTACTTTCTGTAGCCTGTACGTGCTGGTTCAGTTGAGAGGGCAGTGGCTTTGCTGGTCCAGGTAGGATTTGGAGCTGGCTTTAGGTCCCCTGGTGCTTCCTCTCTCACTCCATCCATCCCTCAGCTATTCTCAGTCCCTTTGTGATTTCTCCTGTTGTTTGCATTGGCCCCTCCCCACCACTCTGCCTCAGCAGCACTGAAGGGTTCTCTGATGCAGTGTCAGGTGGGGAGGGGAATGTCCTCTCCCCGATTGGCACTGCAGTATCAGGCATAGGGAGCCCAAAGCCAGCTCTGCTCCTGGAGCCAGCAGGCAGCAGAGAGGTGAAGCAGTGCACTTCTGGGCCTTGCTGACCTGGAGGGGTCTCTAACTCAGAGATGTCTGTGCTTCTCTGGAGGCTGCAGCATGCAGCACAGTTCTCACGTGCAGGTCTTCCTGGAAACCCAGCCCTAGAGCATTATTCCAGCCCAGGATGAGGGCCAGGACATCTTGTTCGCTTAAAAAGCCCATGTAAGAGATATCTGCAGACTCTTGCCCAGCAACGTCTGCTTGCTTGAGTGAAGAGCAGTCAATCTCTGCTGCCTGTGCTGATTTTCCAGGCAGCGTTGACCCGAGCCTGGTGGGGTCTGGGGGCTGGGGCTGACCCAGCACAGAGCTCCCCCCGGCCGGAATCAGTGGGCAGTGGTGGGATACTGGATGCATCCGCTCCAGGCATCAGAGGTTGACTAATTATTATTATTTTTTTTTAATTTTATTTTTTACTGTTTGATCTCTTTATGTTGATTTGACTCACTGCTGCCATGTGAGCCTCAGGGAAACTGAAAGCAAAATGTGACTTTGGCTTGATGGAAACTGCCAAGCTGTGGCAGGATGCGTCACCTTGTAATTTCCTAGCAGAGTTTCAGAGGGCTCTATCTGTGTGCTTTAGTTTCTTGGCTTTTGAACTGGATTTGCAGGAAGGAGGAAAAGAAGGAAGCTGAATCTCAGTGTGTTGGAGTGCTGGGCACTGGCACTGCTTGGGTTGCAGCATTTGGTGTGTGTGTGCCTGAGTGGGGGGACCCTGTGTGGGAAGTGGGTGCTGGTTGCTGTCTGTGCACCTGGGCTGTGGGAGGATGGTGGGAGGTGGGAGCTGAAGGGCAGAGCTTGAAGATGTGCTGTGCTGGAAGTTAACAGCGTTTGGAGAGAAGTGTTAAACGCTGTGATTGAGGAGCTGATTGGGGAGGAGGCAGTGAGAGAAAGCCCGGACTGAGCAGCGTCTCCCCAGTCTGGGTGGAGTGGCCACCAGATCCGCCCTTCTCCAGGGCACGGGGAGCAGCTCGGCGTGCTGGCAGCATTGCTGCTGCGTGGAACTTCTTGTTGGACCTCAGTGGGGTGGAGATGCAGAAGGGGAGGGAGCTCTGAGCTGCTTTCCTGCCACAGCCTCAAAGGGTTAAAAGGCCCCGGGGAGTCTAGGGGGACCGTTCACACCCTCTGCCCAATCCTGGGAATCCCTGTGTGCTAATTGAGCACTAACGAGATCAAAGGCTCCCATCAGGCAATCATCACCCCCTGGCCCTGTCTTCAGTGCAGCTGGCAGTGGGTCCTGTGCACAGCGCTGCTCTTTGTCTGCGGTCAGGAAAGCGGAGTGATGTGGCCTCTCCCTGTGCGTGCCAGCTTTGGAGCTGGCCTCGCCTGGGCTCTCCTTACTGTGAGTCTGGGGATGGATTTAAGCTTACAGGAAAGTTTGCTGTTAAAATCCCTGGGTCTGAGCGTGAAGCCCAGCCCCAAAATCCCCATTCCGGTGCCATCCGTTCTCTGGCGGATCTTCCAGAAGAGAAAGAGCTCTCCTGCAACAAACAGAGACCCGGTGGACGGTTGTAGAGTGGAGGAGTTTAACGTCCCTGGGAACATCATCCGTGTCTTCGCTGATCAAGGTACAGAAATGCTGCCGTTTGAGTCCTGCCTTTTGAAAGCCTCTCTGTGGTCTGGGCTGGGAATGGCTGGGGGAGGACAGGGCAGCAGCCAGAAGTGGTTTCTGAGACCAGTCTTGCCTGTGTATGGTCTGATCTGTGAGCGTGTTGTAGGTAATGATGTTAGAGTTCAGGCTCCCAGCTTCGGGTGGAGGCAGATGCTCAGCAATCCTGCTGGGTCCTGTCCCCCTTCTCCTTTTGGTCCTCCTGCCTCGGGCTGCTCTGAGCCATTCCTTTACATGGCAGCTGCTTTGTCAATGCCATCCGCATCTCAAGGCACGATTGGGTTCTGTTGAGCTCAGATTTCCAGTGGAAATCTAGGGCTGGCTTTCACAGGCAGCTCGTCACTTCAGTCGGTTTGCTGCTATCCGCCCTCCTTTCCCTCCATCCTCTAACAACGCTTCTGCCCCGGGGGAGATGCTGACAGTTTTCTGCAGGCTGTGCTGTGGGGCTGATGGCCCCATCCCACGGCACTGTCATCTTGATCCAGCGGCTGTGGATGTGTAGAGCTGCCTGTCTCTGCTCTGCCCATCTTCCTCTTCGTGTGCAGCCAGGAGCTTGATCGACTACTGGGAGGCTGATCCTGCTCGCCATAAGGGGGTTCAGACACCGCCACCTCTATTTCTTCTTCTCCATCAGGCCACTTCATTCACAGCACACAGCCCCATCCGCTGCTGTGTCTGCAGAAGCGTCTGTACTTTAACCTCTCTGTGCTGGAGGAGGGTGAGCGCCTGACGATGGCTCAGCTGGAGCTCAAGTTCAGCCACAACTCGTACCACAGCCCCGGCCGGGGGCAGGGCTTTGAGCTGCGGCTGTACCACAGCTGCCAGGTGCCACTGAGGGGGATGCCGTCCCTGGAGCGAGGCCGCAAGCTGCTGGTGGAGCAGTCCTTCGCCCGCCTGCACAAGTCTCTGCTCTTCAACCTGAGCGATGTGGCAAAGGACTGGACAACTCACAGCAGGAACCTGGGCTTGATCCTGGAGATCGCGGTGAGCGGAGACGGAGCCTCGGCCCCGCTGAGCGCAGGGCCACAGGGCCTCTGTGCCGGCATCGACTCATTCCTGGATGCCTCTCTCCTGGTGGTGACCCTCAGCCAGCAGTGCGGGGCATCCAGGAGGAGGAGGAGCGCTTACAACGTCTCCGTCACACCGAGCAACCTCTGCAAGCCCCGGCGCCTTTACATCAGCTTCAGTGACGTCGGCTGGGAGAACTGGATCATCGCCCCGCAGGGCTACATGGCCAACTACTGCCTGGGCGAGTGCCCCTTCCCCCTGACAGCTGAGCTCAACAGCACCAACCACGCCATCCTGCAGACCATGGTGCACTCACTGGACCCGGAGGGGACACCCCAGCCCTGCTGCGTCCCCGTCAGGCTCTCCCCCATCTCCATCCTCTACTATGACAACAGTGACAACGTGGTGCTGAGGCACTACGAGGACATGGTGGTGGATGAGTGTGGCTGCAGATAGAGGAGAGGTTGTGGGTATGCGCCGTGGGGCACACGGAATGATTGATGGAATAAATCCAAGTGTGATAAATGCCCTCTGTGCTGGTGCTTAGGGAGTTTCAGACTGGGACAAGGAGGTCAGAGCTCCCCTCTGTGCTGCCTTCCTCACTTGCAGGCAGGGAGGAGGTCTGCATGATGGGATGGTGACAGGGCTGGTTTAGTGGTCGTGCTGTGCTGGGTGCCCTGAGGTGCTCTGTCAGAGCCTGCAGGTGGTGACGGGGTTATGATCAGGTCTGACCCTGGGTGCTGCTCAGCCATCCGCTGTGGGTGGCAGAGACACCAGGCTGGGAATCCCGGCCTCCTCTTGTGCCTGGCAGAGCAGCTGCTGCTGCTGGGCTTTGTTGTTTTCAGCTTTTTGCAGCTTAGGTGATGCAAAACGAAATGACAAATTTGAAGTGATGCTGGCAGGTTCAGCTGCAGCAGCTCTGGTCCAACTGCAGGAAGAGGTGTGGTGTCGTGACACGAGCTGTGTCGCGACTGAATCCCTTCCCTGGGGCACTGGAGGCTGTGGGACAGCGGTGCTTCTGCTTCACACCTGAGCTGCATGTTGGTGTACTTGGAGCTGAGTTCCTTCTAGCACTGCTTTTTGTTCAGCCCCCATTCACCTGTTGTGGAGGGTTTGTCTGCATCAGCCTCTGTGGAGCAGCACCGCAGGGGAGGCGCTGGGGCTGAGGAAGGACAGCAGAGGCACGCGGTGGCGTTTTGACCCCCCCGAGCTCCCTCTGCTGCAGCACAGCGCCAGTTCAGCTGGCTGAGTGAAGCAATGAGTGCACTGTGCAGCAGGCAGCAGCAGCTTTGCACAGCAGTATTACAACCCTCGTAATGCAGGCACCACGTTAATAACGCACATATGCTTTTGGGGGTTATTTGTCATTTATTTGGCTTTTAGGTTTTTTTAGTTGTTCTTTTTTTTTTGAGGATTTGGGGACAGATCTGCAGCTCTTGGCTGTGGTCCTCAGTCCAATGCAGCAGTTGCTCTCGCAGTGTTTAATGCCATGGCAGTGCTGTGTGCTGCCCTTCCAGCAGAGGCTTTCCTGGCACCGCTGCAGCTTTGCTGTTTTTTGGGGGTGGGGGAGCAGACAAGGAATCTGAGTTAACTTGAATTATTTTTTTTGAAATATGAGCCTGACAGCACAGCCTGGACTGTTTTTACTTTTTCTTTGTACCTGTGTTGTGTTGTCTCAAGATCTGATGAAGTATTGCTGAGTGCAGCTCCAAGGAAGCACTGAGGGTTTAAACCACTGCCGGAGCTGCAGAGGAGCATCTTCCTGCAGCACTGCCCTGCTGCCACTCCTGAAGCAGGCTGAGTAGTTGGAGAGCAGCCCTTAGCTGTAGCACTCACTTTCAGCTTCCCCCCAGCCAGCAGTAACCCCTAACATAGCGCAGAGAAAGCAGCGTCCACCACTGAAGGCTTTAAGAGCTTTGAGTGGGCCGTAACCCAGCAGGAGCCGTTTTCCTTCTCTCCCCATTAAAACAGGAGGGATTTACAAACCCCTCCTCTCCTTTTGGTGGCTGGAGCAGACTGAGGGATGCAGAGCTGTTGCTGGAGCCAGGCTGAGCACAGCTGAGCACCCACGCAGGATCTGCATTTGCTTCCCCCCGTCCGCTCTGCCCACCCCCCACTTTTGTACCAGTCCCTGTTTAAAGGAAGTAATAAACTTGAAGTTTCTACAATCATACCAAGTTTTAATGAATGGTGCATGGTTTCCTCATTGAAAGGTAGGGGGCCACCGTGAATGCAAGAGCTGTTTATTAATATTTTATTGATGACAAACAGGTTTAAAACAAACTGAGACAAAATCAAAAGAGTAACACCGTGCTAGCACTGATGTCTGGATTTATAAAACTCAGAGTAACTGCTACAAAGGAAAAAAAACAGCAGAAGCAGAGGCAGGCATTCCCATCAGTGAAATAAAGGGGGGAGGGCGGAGGAGGGGGTTACATTACTCAATGGATTGCATTGCACAGAGGGGTACAGCTTAAACCTATCTGAAGTCTATGCAGCTACGCAGCCTACAGAAGGAAAAAAAAAAAAAAATTAAAAAAGCCCTTCGGCAATGTTAATAAATAAAACAGTCCATCTCACAAGGAAGGAAGGTGGCCTGTGTCTCCATTCTTTCGCATTGTAGAAGTCTAAACGCTGGAGGCTTTTTATGAGAAAAGAATGGTTTTCGTTTCTGGAAAATTGGAGTTTATTTTGCAGTTCTTGAACCACGTTCACTGCAGGACTGAACACAAATGCTGAACACCTGTTCCATTCTATGTGCACGCTACTCACGTTTGTGGGTATGCTACACCAGGTCTGTGCTGGGGAAGAGACACTCCTGAAAACTACAGCAAATACAGGTGATGAAAGCGGGTCAACACTCTACAGAAAGGACAGTGATGAAAGGGCTTTCCCCCCAGATACAAAAAGTGGGTTTTACATCGCTTAAGTACATTCATATGAGAGGTATTTCGAGTTCCCCCCCAAAAAAAGACTAGAAACACTTGGAGCCCTTTGATAGAATGCTAACTTAATTCCAACCTTACAAACCCCGAGGTCAGAATCGCTCTGCTCGTCTCTGCCTGGTGGGAGGCTGAGGTTGGCAGTTTGGGATCCGATCCAACCGGGTCTGCAGGAGCTGTGATTCTCTGCGCCGTTTCTAAAAAGGTTCAGACACCAATAAAATGCTCCCAGTGTTCCCATATGACTTATTTAAGATATGGGTACAACTCAGAAATTGGATGGCTTCTCTCATGTGCTGTTCTCAGTTCTGACTTCCAGCTATTTCTTCAGCCAGCACCGATGGCACAGCTGGGTGCACTACCTGAAAAAGCAGCTCCGGGTTTGTTCTGCAACACCTGAACCTCGGCTATCTGCGTTCGTCACCGAAGAAGCCACACAAAAGCCTACCCCGTTATCTCTAATTGTACCCATCTATCAGAGGCCACCTTCCAACAACTGCCTGCTTTGTCCATTTCTCCAACCTGCTTCGGTAACATTGTAGTCTTTACTTCAAAACCAATATAATCCCCAGTTTCCACTACTTCTTCCCCCCAGCTGAGGGAGCAGTAAAGCAGGCCTGTTAGCATCCTTTCCTCCAGGGCCGAAGGGCACAGGAACCCATCCCCTTTCAAGCGCAAAGTTCATCTTACAGAAAGGCTTGTTTTTCACAGAGTAGAGTCCAGACAGTAGCCAATTAAAGCATACAGAAAACACTTCGAAACCCTCCTCCTGCTCGAGCGCGCAGGCTCCTTCCATCTAACTGCTATCCGATGTAGGAAGAAGAGGCTGATTGCTGCAACTGTAAATCACACTGAAAGTTCTCAAGGTTGGTGCTCTAATTTAGTTTTGTTTTACACTTTTTGTGAGCTTCTCAGAACAAGGATCTCCCAGGTCCACCACTAAGAATTCAGAGACAAACTTCTAAAAATTCAGTGCTCCTTTGAAAGAATCTCTTTAAAACCACCTTGTCACGAAAGACCCATTCAGAATGCGGGCGGCACGATGACACTAGGATTTCAGAGCCAGCGCTGGACAACAAAACCTCCATCTCAGAGTTGAGCATCAGCTACGTTCCGCTGCATTTCTGCTTGGCCTGCTGTCAACTTAGGAACTCTCTCTCAGATACTCTGCTTCTAAAATGTAAACAGTTACTGCTAAAATATAGTACCCCTTGAGAACAACTCTGAGATGAGGGTTTTCCTCTCCCCATCTGCTCTGAAAAGTAATGCCCTGCTCGCAAAGAGAAGTATGGAATGAAGTGAAACCTGCTTAAGGCCCTTCTCTCGAGCTTCTTGGACTGGGGGAGCAGGGACTCAGCTGACCACTCATTGCAGGGTGAGTTGCCTTCCCCGTGAGGCGCCAGCCAGTCCGTCGTTGCTCTCTCTCCTCTCCGGTCAGTCTCCTTGTCTCAGTGAGCTAGCAGTGGGCTCTCTCGCGCGCTCTCCTTTCTCTCTCTCTCTCCTCTCCGTTGGTTGGTTTCTTTCTCCTGTTGCTCTCACACAGTGGTGCTTCAGTTTTAGCAGTGGAAAACAGGTATCCATTTTATTTTATTTTTTTTATTACCCAGAATAAAATGCTGATGAACTAAGCTCCACACAAGCTTAGCTCTTCTTCCTCAACCTGAAAGCGAGAAAGCAGAACAAGAGTTGTATGACAGCCATCAGGAAACGGTTCTCAAGAGCTCATATGAGGCAGGAGGGCAGAGGGGTGAGCGCAGAGCTTACACTCTAATACTGTGACAGTCCCGTCACTCCGCCATGTTGATACGCGCGTTCCCCCTGGTAGGTGGAGTCCTGTGACAGCGCCACGTCAATCTGAGACTTGAACTCATCACCAAGGTAACTGTCCTGGAAATGAGAGCGCGTGTCAAGCAGCACCAAGCTCCATGGGACCTCACAGAGCAGCCAGCGTTGAAGAAAAAGCGACTTTTGGGTTTTAAAGTTCAGCCCCGTTCTGCTGCAGAATTGCTATAAAGCTTCCAGCAGCACAAGGCAGCTGGAAGGGCAGCGGCTGAACGCCAGGGCTCAGGGTGAAGTTGGTATGCAGCTCTGAGTTCTTTTGCTCAAGTATACTTTTGAAGCCCACCAAGTAGAAGGTAAGAAATGCTGCGGCCAAATTAACTGAAAATGGTTTAGTTTCTACTTTCCTCAACTCTAAGAAACAGAGATGTGCACACAAACAGAACACTGACATAAAACCCAGGAAAAAGGGCAGACCGACCGTGCATCACTGCTTACCTGTGATAATTCTGGTTGGGAGAGCCCAGGCTGACTCATCTGAGATGGCTGACTCATGGAGATATAGCCCTGAGTCAGTGGACCCTGGGAGAAGGGCTGGGACACCACATCTTGGCTCGCCTGGCTATTGGGAAGGTTTGATTGACTCGTTCCAGGAATCCCAAAACGATTTTTCTGGCGCCCACCACGACCGGTCTTCCCTTTGGGTGCCCCACGTCCTGGAAAAGCATTTATCCAAACCAACAGTGAGAAGCTTTACAAGCGTGTGAGAATCAGATGCTTCTACAAAGACTTGACGACTCGCTTCAGGCAACGCTTCTCATTGTGCTCAGTGCAGTAGGTGCAAAGAAATACAAGTTCACTCTCGTCAGCACTGAAAGCATTATCCCACATCAGACCCACGCCGTGCCTTTGGCACTGTGCCCCCCTGGCCCCATACCTGCAGCCGGGCCATTGGCCTGCCCAAAGTACCCTGGTGGGGGCATTGGGGGCATCACGAGGTTGAAGGGGATGGGAATGTTCATAGCAGTGACGTGGCTGGGGCCTGCACTGATCATCCCGATCTGGTCGTGGGTTTGGAAGTACATGTTGGATGGGCGCCCTGGGGAGGGGGAAGTCACAGTTATTTCAAGCATCCCAAATATCCTGAAATTCACAGTCCTGCTTTTAACGGTAACGGGAGGACTTTAAGGAGGAAAAATAATACAAAGGACAAGTCATCACTGCCACGAACCTCTAGGATTCGTAGCTCCCCATTTATCCCACACTCCCAAGTCTCAAAGAGACACAACCGGTCGCCCCATCCCATCACTCTTCTACAGTGCCATTCCCCATTCCTACAACACTGACAGCCCCCCTCACTCCTTATCTGCTCTTCAGACCAGGGAGTAACAGAGGTTACTGCAACGTCAGGGGCAGCAAAATCCCTCCTCAAGAATTCCGACACCACGAGCATTTTCAGTTTTTAACCCCCACATTTTTCTGTATTTAAACATTTAAACATTTGCAGTTTGTAAGACATCCAACCCCAGGGACTAAGTGAAGAAACGGTGAATGGTGTTAATGCTGACAGCTTCTTTACCTTGACTGCTCCGGTCATAGACGGATCCTGGAATAATAGCTTCACGTGCATCATACATGGCAGTGGTCATGAAGCGGGCACCCTGAAAGCATGGGAGGAGTTGGACAAAGCTTTAGCATTGAGCTGCACACTGTAACTGACTGTAAGGTGGGTAAAAACTCAACAAAACCTCACAGATACTGTTTCTAATGTAAGAAAAACATCCAGCCATCGTCTCAACCACGTGCTGGCAACTCTCAACAGAAGTGCATGTAAAAGCCTTAAGGAACGCTTGTATAACGAACTTACACAAAGTAATTGCACCATGTTTCATGCATCTCAGAAGTCACCCCATGTAAAATTCTGCAGTGCATAAAGACAAACTGCTTTACTTAGAAACTGCAGTTTACTTTGCCACAGGCCATTTACTAGGCAACAGAAGTGAAAGATACAGGTGTGTGAGGGCATGGGGTGTCTGTTTATTCCATCCACTTATGGCTGTCAATGCTCTGTTTCCTCATGCCACAGACATCTGAGAAACAGGAAAGGCCAACTTACTGGGTTGATGGTGTTGACAAGTTTTCGGGGCTTGCTGAATTGCATGAGGCTCTCCCGGAGGTTATTCAGTGGTCCCTCCACCAGAACCTTCTGCTCCTTGTAGTAATTCAGCAGGTGATTCCAAAGTGGTTGTTTAGACAGAGCTTTCGGGTTCCCAACAATAATTACCCCATACCTATGGAAGAACAAACAGTAAAACTAAGATCAGCTTACAGAACAGGACAAAGAACTCCAGAGAAGCCTGTGACAGGAGGTATAGGAGACCCTGACCCAACTGTTCCTGTATACAAAGGATTTCTGTACACTTGGAAGCTTGTGATTCCTGAGAGACTGGCTGCAGCAATCTC